ACCTTCATGGCTAGCACTACACCAATAGTGCTTCATCGCATTTGATTTGCAGCAACAATCAAGCTTCATTTTCCGATTAAAAGAATTGCGGGAAATCATTACACAGCATATCACAAAGGACTGTTTTATCAATCTCATCTGCAGAACCGGATGTGCATATCGTCAAGATGAGCTTAGATCGCCAGGATGCTATTCAGAAAGAGGAGTTGGAAGGTGCAGCAAAGCCTTCCCTGCAGAATCTGTCCAAGTTTCCCTCTGGTTCAAATCCAGCCAAGGTGAGAAGGAGAACCCCTCCCCCCCTTTTCCATATGAGCTGGGAGGCTGACTTGGTTGATTAAAACAGGAGCTGATTAATGAGCAAACCCCCTCAATGTGGGTTCGTACTAGAAATAACCTGGCCGAACCAGTGGTAGCTGCATTTATGGCTGGTGGAGTGGCTGGTGCAGTCTCCAGGACAATAGTGTCACCACTCGAACGATTGAAAATTCTTCTTCAAATTCAAAGTGTCGGTCGAACAGAATACAGATTGTCAATCTGGAAAGCCTTGGTGAAGATGGGACGGGAAGAAGGCTGGCGGGGCTTCATGCGAGGAAATGGAACGAACTGTATTCGCATTATCCCCTATTCTGCGGTACAGTTTGGGAGTTATAATTTCTACAAGCAAGTGGGTGGCTATTCCTATCCTGCACAACTCGGTTTTGCAAACTGACATTTCTTTGATCCAGTTTGTAGAGTCTCCCGATGGTGAGATGACCCCGATGCGTCGCCTTGTTTGTGGAGGTGTTGCCGGTATTACCTCCGTGACTATCACCTATCCTCTGGACATTGTTCGAACCCGGCTTTCCATTCAATCTGCTTCATTTGCCGATCTTGGAGCAAGAGATCCAAGCCAAAAATTGCCAGGCATGTTCACCACAATGGCCATGATCTATAAAAATGAAGGTGGGACAAAGGCTTTATATCGTGGAATTGCTCCTACTGTTGCTGGAGTAGCCCCATATGTGAGTTGTCAGCTTAATTTGACTTGGTCACAACTGACAAGCGACAGGTGGGACTGAATTTTATGACCTACGAATCAGTGCGCAAGTATCTAACACCGGAAGGGGACAAAAACCCTAGCTCCTATCGAAAACTGCTGGCTGGCGCGATCTCTGGAGCAGTCGCCCAGACATGTACCTATCCTTTGTCAGTTCTTTTGTTCTATACGGCTAATCCCCATGAAACTGATTTTTCCTTAGTGATGTACTACGTCGGCGATTCCAGATCAACACGATGTCGGGAATGGGTTACCAATACACCTCGATCTGGGATGCTGTGAGGGTCATTGTGGCTGAAGAGGGACTACGTGGACTCTTCAAGGGGATAGGGCCAAATCTTTTGAAAGTTGCTCCTAGTATGGCAAGCAGCTGGTTGAGTTTTGAAATGACTCGTGATTTCTTTGTCAGCTTGAATGATAGAGAATAGTTCAAATAATATATGTACCTAGATATTTCTTCTCATTATTATTATGAACAGTTGATTATACACAATGCATATGTATATACACATGAACAAAAAGTGGATAAAATGTTTCGGTGTATGGAGTACGATGGAGATGTACAAAGTAGTTAGTTAGATTTTACAGAGTACATATGTACGCGATAGCACCTGGGCCAGGTTATCTTGGAAGATAAGGTTCATTTGTACGGAGTACGGAGTAAAATTCTCTCCTCCAGGGCTAGATGCAGCGAGACCCATTTAGCACGTGACCGGGTGGCAAACAGACCAAAACATCACGTGGTTATAACCAGGTCACGTGCCTCGCCTTTCCTAGTCAAGTCTAGCGTAGGGCTAAACCCACACACCACCGTCCAGCCGAAAGTCAAGGATCAAAAACCTCCTGCACTTTCCATACGGGTGCGACAGCAAGCTATTTCCCGGGAAGTCGACCAATACACAGCCATGGGTATGTTCAATCATCTCCGTTCACTCGACTATCGCATCTCGCAGCATTCATTCGGACCCCTTTGTCTTTTTTTCTCGTTCTCAGTCCATTCCACTGACAATTTATAAATCGCAGGTATCGACCTGGACCGCCACCATGTGCGGAGCAGCCACCGCAAGGCTCCCAAGAGCGACAACGTCTACTTGAAGGTTCTGGTGAAGCTCTACCGCTTCTTGGCTCGTATGACCCCCCCGATTCCGAATTTCGTTTGCAGCGCAATTTCTACAGGTGTACCGTTGTGAGGATTTTCGTGAGGCTGATATGGGATGCATGATAGGCCGCACCGAGTCCAACTTCAACAAGGCCGTCCTCCGTCGTCTCTTTATGTCGAGAATCAACCGCCCCCCGGTTTCCCTTTCTCGCGCCGTCGCCAACATCAGCGAGGCGCAGAAGGGCAAGACCGTCGTCGTTGTCGGCACTGTCACTGATGACAACCGCCTTTTGACCGTCCCCAAGCTGTCGATCGCTGCCCTCCGTTTCACCGCTACCGCTCGCGCTCGCATTGAGAAGGCCGGTGGTGAGACTTTGACTCTCGACCAGCTTGCTCTCCGTGCTCCTACCGGTGCCAACACTCTCCTCCTGCGTGGACCCAAGAACGCCCGTGAGGCCGTGAAGCACTTCGGCTTTGGTCCTCACACCGACAAGGTGGGTTATTACGACTGGAAAATGAGATGGCGTGGTTCAAATTTACTAACTCAAAACAGAAGCCGTACGTGGGAAGCAAGGGCCGCAAGTTCGAGCGGGCTCGTGGTCGCAGACGCTCCAAGGGTTTCAAGGTTTAAGGGACTTGATGAGGATGATGTGGTGTGTATGTGTTGTGAAAGATGCATTGGCCACATTGACTTTCTCGGTGTCTGGAATCATTCCAGTTCTAGCCAGAGGCCTCAAGTCTGTGTACTTAAAAGTGGCGGGATGTCTTTGGTTGGACTGGGAAATGAGAATTTACGAATGAAAGGGCAAAAGAAAATTGAATCAGGCTTTGTCCTAAGTTTTTTCTTATGGGATTTTTCAAACAAGAAAGCAAGGGAAAAAAAAAATCTTTTCTAAAATGATATCCTTCTATTGATGCGTTGCGCTGGAGGCGATTACTGGTCTACGGACAGTTTAGTATGGAGATATTTCTTCCCTCCTTCACCATCATAGTCCGCTGCCCTGTGACCATTTCCCCGGATCAAGTACTTGTAGATGGTCAGACCCTCGAGTCCGACCGGTCCTCGGGAATGAATCTTGTTGGTGCTGATGCCAACTTCCGTACCAAATCCAAACCGCATGCCATCGGCAAATCTGGTAGATGCATTCCAGAAAACACCCGCACTGTCAATTCCGCTCATGAACATATCCGCCGCCTCTTTTGACTGAGTCAAAATGATCTCGGTATGCTTGGAGGAATGCATGTTTATATGGGTAATGGCAGCCTCCACGGCCGTAGTCGGAGGGTCAGTCGAGGGAATTGTTTTCACTGCCAACACAAGGTCCAAAAACTCCGTGTTATAGTCGGATTCGGTGGCCGTTTGTACTTGGGCTGATTTCCCGGCTGGCAATGTCTTTGTCAAAGCGGATTTTGAACCAGGATCACAACGAAGAGTCACGCCTTTCTCTAGGAGAGCAGCAGCTACCGCCGGGAACACCGATTCAAGGGTATCCTCATGGACAAGCAAGGTCTCCAATGAGTTGCATGCCGCTGGATAGTCCGTTTTTGAATCCACAATCACTTTCACAGCGGTATCGATATCGGCATCGGCATGTATGTAAGCAGAACAAAGACCATCGGCATGTCCAAGCACAGGAATTTTCGTATTATCTTTCACGAAACGGACAAGTTCGTTGGAACCTCGAGGAATGACCAGGTCAATCAACGAATCCTGGGCTAAGAGAGAAGACACCGCATCCCGTGTCTTGACTAGCTGGATCGATGATACTGGCACGCGAGATTCGGCGATAGCTTTAGAGACAACGGTTGCGATTGCCGCAAAGGACTCCATGGATTCCTTCCCACCTAGAAATTTGCGTCAATTGAACAATATCATGAAAGCTTTATAAGGGCGTGCGTGTACCTTTCAGAATAGCAGCGTTACCTGACTTGATAGCCAACGCAGCAATGTTTGCTATTACCTCTGGGCGAGCCTCAAAGATAATCAGTAGTACACCGATAGGGCAGCTGACTCTCTCAAGTGTCAGACCGTCATCAAGGAGGGTTCGTAGTGTCACTTTCCCAACTAGGATTGTACTGTGTTAAGTTCTGTCTCAATGAAGCTCAAAGATTAGAAAGTGCACTCACTGGGGTCATCCAAATCTCGCACACTCAAAATGCCATCAAGCATGTCTTTGTATTTTCCAGGCCGCGACAGGTCAAGTCTCTTGAGCACGCTATGACTCAAATTCCCGCTCTCGGCCGCAATAGTAGCAAGTTCCACATCCCTAGCATTGGCTTCAAGAATATCTTTTTGGTTCATTTCCAATGCATCATGGAGCAACGTCAAGGCTTTATTGCGGTCATCATTGTTTAAAGTTGCAAGGCGACGAGAGGCAAGTGATGCACTATGGGCAGCATCAACTGCTGCGGATTCGGTCAATGACATGATGCCAAATAATCTCCGCTCCTATAAGGATTGAACAATAAGTGTGGGAAATGATTCCACGTAGTAGACTTAGAAGAAAGGGAAAGAGAGAAAAATTGAGTCAGAGTCAAAAAGTGCCCAGGTGTGGAGGGGCACGTTATCGATCCCGCCTCATCTCGGATTTACCCACCTTCCCGTCTCCAATAATCATCACAACTTCCTACGTCACATTTCTTTATCAACACATACCTACAACAAAAGTTCCATTTACAAACATTTTATCAAATCTCTCTTCTACCCCTTCGCTCCTCCTTTCCTCATCCAACCTTGAGCCTCCATTGTATTGCAATCCTGACTTCACGAAAGCGAAAGCCAAGATATCACACTGGTTTGAAACAAGACAACTTTGCGCATTTGACGCCGAATTATCTTGTGCTCTTCTTTCATATATTTCCAGGATGACGCTCCTCTCAGATATCATCTCCGCCTCGGCGCATTTACACAACTCTAACCACCTATCCAGCAACGAGTATGACCGTCGGATTCGCGAGCTAGTTGAATACTTCAGGCGGCTACAAACGACCAAGGCACTCGACTCATTTGTCAATGATGAGTCTTTTCTCGGTGTAAGCAGCTTTATTCATACCAAATCTCATCTGTGAAAGTTCTATGGGTTCGCAGCTAATATACATTTATATCTAGCGTTTTGACCCAGCGATAGATTCTATCCCATATCTTTTCATACTACATGTGCAAATACAGAAGGCACAGGAACTGAATGCCGATTCATTCCCAGCAGATATCCGCCCCTCTGGGAAGCTATGGACATGCGCTGCACATTTTTTGGCGAATTTTGATGGGGTCCAAGTCAGATACGCTGGACGAGAATGGCGCCTTCTTGTTGAGCTCGTGGGGCAAGCCTCACAAGCTGCATCAACGGCAAGTCGGCTATTTTCCAACGTTTCTTGGATCTAATTGCTAACATAACCGTGCTACAGCCACTGCTAGGCGCTACGCTGGTTAAAGACGCTATGCTTCGTCTTGACCCATCATGTGCCGTTTTCACCTCGAGTCACCTCTTGCTTGTCCGGCTTTGTCTCCAGGCGAAAGCATATTCTTGTGCATTGCCGGTCTTGAATAAGCAGATTTGTCATTTCCCAATTTCGCAGGGACGTCCCTCTTCAGAGCCCTCTGTGCTTTGCGCAGATCACGGGTCAAGTGTATCCTTTATGACTGAAGCTTCCGGGGTTTCATCCAACCTATCATATCGAGACTACTTGCAGTACTTTCTGTATGGTGGTATGGTGTACATGGCGTTGAAGGAGTGGCGTAATGCACTTCATTTCCTTGGGATTGTCATCTCTACGCCTAGTACTAGCTCCGTGAGCTTGATTATGGTGGAAGCCTACAAAAAATGGGTTCTGGTAGGCTTACTCGAAAAGGGCAAGGTAGGTTATCTCTTCGCTGAAGGAAAAAAAGAAAACACTCGACAGCATTAGCCCTATTGTTTCCTTGAGCTAATTGTTTCCGTGAGCAGCTCTGTCCGCCTCCAAGCATTACAGCACCGCATGTGGTGAAAGTGTATCAATCACTTGCGAGGCCGTATATCATTCTTGCTCATGCATTTGAACGTGGTGATTTGAAGAGACTTACCGCTGAAATTGATGCTGCCAAGGGAGTCTGGTGCGCGGTAGGTGGCGAGTCTAGTTGACACTGGGTTGTCACGTTTTGATATTCAGGACTAATGCCGCCGCTTTAGGACAATAATCTCGGTCTCATTGCCCAGGTAGTGGGTGCTTTCTTCGGTCAAACTGTGATCAAGCTTGGGAAAACCTTTGCAGCTTTAACGATGGCCGACCTTTCAAAGCAGGTGTTTCCCTCCCCTGTGTGTGCAGAAGTCACTGGATCCGCTGTTTCATCCCTCATCATGTCCCATGCTTTGAATGCGACATTGGTGCAGACCAAAGATCATGCTGAGTCTTCTATGCTACGGTTCTCGTCCATCCATTCGTTACCTCAACTCTCTCATGAGTTGGACTTACAGTCCCAACTCAAGCAAGAGATGAGGCTGATGGAGACCCTGGTGATTAATCTTGGGGAAACCAATAATAACCTGGGATTAAGCGATGAGTACGTTGATAGCCTACATAAGGGTCAGGTTTGGTCAGGGTCTAGTGAAGTCAATCCCATTCTAGGGGGGAGACTGGACTTGAGATGGATGAAGATCTAATGGGTGACATGTCCTGAGTTCATCTTTATGGTACCAAGGGGCAATAGGGACTGAATAGTCTTGCTTTGAATGTATTGCTGGTGGTGCTAGTCACTTGTGGTGCATTTATACTAATTGCCGATGATTGTCATGGATGTAGGGGATTGATACAGTCACCCCGCAAACTATTAGGGATCCTGCCCACACGTTTTTAAACCGACCACCTTCGACTGTTAATTATAGTCATAAGAACGCCACTGCGTGCTATTAATCCCAATCGTAGATATATAAATTACTATCTTTTTGGCCCCCGCTTCGCGCGGGAGCATAGTTCTAACCACGAGATAACTAAGTATGGGACACCCCGAAGCTAGTTGGCTACAGAATGTTAGATGTGTATAGTATAGATAATAGTGGTATATAATGTCGAATACTGAGATTGAATACATGGTGGAAACAAGGTATTATACCCATAAAATCATGTGACAACTGGTACCAGACATACTATATAAATATATACTATAGTTTAGACTTCTGTAAAGTCTAACTTTGGGCCTAAGGTCCGGGCTCGAAACCCGACCCGTAACGAGCTAGGGTTCGAACTTCTCGAGCTCGACCCGGACCCTAGCTTATAGGGGGGCGGGGGGGGGCGCGGATAAGCCCCCCCCCCCCCCCCCCCCCCCCCCCCACTAAGCTCGAAATTATATAAAACTATAGTCTTAGCGTTTATAAAGTGGCCAAATTATCTAAATAAATAACTATCTTTTATATATATTCTAGTTTATATATAGAATTATACTATATTATTATGATAAGGAATAGGAAATATTTAGAAATTCTAGTGAATTAAGATATATCTTAGATATCTTAGTATAAAAACTAAGCTTTATAACTATATAGACTAAGTGGTTAGAAATATTAGAAATATTCTATATATATTCTATACTAGCACTTATATTAATTAGAGGAAGCTCCATTTTTAACTCTCTATCTTTAGAAGTGATTATCTTAACTTTATTATTTAAATTTCGAACTATTTTCTTTTATTCCTCTATTTACTAATATCCGTACTAACGTTCTCTATTATATTAGAATTCGCTCTTTTTAACCTTTTTCTTATCTTCCTATTTAATAATATAATCTTATTAATCTATATATACTTAATAAAAGCTATTATATTTAGGCTTTTAAAGTATAGTAGTTAGTATTAGAACTACTAACTGTTACGGACATGCTAGTCACCAATCAGTTGTGGGGACCGCAACTACTGATGGGCCACCGAGAGCCAACCGAACGATCTGTCATCAGATCACGTGCACCATCCTATACTCTGGGATACCCGGGTGTTCAGGGAAAAGAGAAACCGTGATCATGCTCAGTGAGCAAGAGCATGATCAGCCCTGAGCAGGACCCACTTCCAGAGGATATCCGGTACATATGTTACTATATGGACCAGCAAACCTCTGCCACCACGATTAGGCAATCACCACGTGATCATACAAGTAGTAGAACGGTCGGCGGTAGAAGTAGTAGAGGGATTCTACTATTCTACTATCTACCATTCTATATAGGAAGAACTCAGGGATATATAAGGACACTCATTCATGTATCTAGTTTAGTTCTTCGTCTTCAATCATACATTGTTACTTATGTATACCTTTGGAACTTCAGTGACTCTTTAACTTGATTATAACTTGACAACACTCACGAGCAGACCAATACTCCGGTATAGATCTACTCGGCGCTCTACCTGGCATCGTTCCTCGATACCTCAATAGGACCCATCCTGCAGTAAGGCCTGATAGGCAACAGTACGGTTGAGAGTACAGATCGTTGACGTTGGAAACCTGAGAAGCATAAGGCAAGTATAACCTGGAAACCTTCTAACCTAACTATGACCAGTTAGCAGTGCGTAACACTAACCTACTAGCTATATTATTAAAAAGAGTTTTCTTATCCGGCTAAATTATTTAGTATTAATAGTAATAGAGTAAGATATTATACTCTATAAACTATTTTTAACTAAAGATTATATTATATCTTCCTAAGTCTATAAGAAGTATAGGAACTTATTATTATATTTATCTATTTATATAAATAGTAAGAGATATAATATAAGTAATTAATTTACTAGGGGTTCTATTAAAGCTCTAGATTAGGTATTTTTAGTTAAGTCGTTCTACTTAGATTCTAAATCGTTTTTTAAATAGTAAAATTATTACTAAATTTATAAAAATATAACTATCTACTCTAGTATTATTAAGTATTAAAATAGAAAAGGAATATCTATTATATATTAATTAAGTATTAAAAACTAAACTATCTTTAAGACCTCTAATTAACTTTTATAAATCTAATAAGTAAAGTAAATCTTATAATTATTTAAATAGGAGACTTTATCTAAGTACTAGCTTTTCTCTAGTTATCTTTAAGTTCTTAATTTTTAATAATATAAGGAGTTAAAGTAATAGCTATAACTAAGATATTCGACTTATTCTTTAAATATCTATTAAGTTATATATCTTTATTCTTTATAGTTAAAATATCGACCCTTTTTTTATAAAAGTCTCTTATTTAATAGTGGATAAATTAGTAGAAATAATACTTCTTTTATACTTTATATAAGGAGTATATTAATTAATAGCTATTTTAATACTACTACTACTTCTAATTAGAATAGTAGAATAGGAATAAAAAGTATTCTTTAATTCTTATTATAGATTAATTTTATAAGATATACTATAATAGTTTTAAATAAAGGCCTTAAAGGAAATAGAATCTTAGTAAATAGCCTATATTATTTAGCTTTAAAGTAGATATAAAAGTTTTAAATATAGATATATTTTCGGTTTTCTTTAATAATAATAATCTCTTTAGTAAACTATATAAATTTAGCGAGAAAATTAGTAAAGCTATCCTTTAGTTTTATCTTTAATTTATAATATATAATATAGGCTTTAGTATAATAATTTAAGTTTATAAAAATAGTTTTTAGATAAGCGATTATATTATTAATATTAGTATATAAAGCACTTAATTTAGTATTTAGGCGAGATATAATATATAATTAAGCTTTTCCTTTATAACGACTTTATATATAAAATTTATAATAAACTAGTAATAGGTAATAATCTATATTTACTTTAAGCTTCTATTAGATAATAGTTTCCTATATTTTAAAACGAACTTCTTTACTATCGTTAAATATTAGAGCGTTAAATATTTTAATAGATTTATAGATAATAATAGCCTTTATATTAGTACGCTAGAGCTATTCTAGTTTAAATTCTACTATAGGCTTAAAAGTTAGAATATAAGATAATCTCTTTTATAAGCTATATAATTATAATAAGTAACTACTTCCTCTCTCTTAAGTAATTAGGATTTCGGTTTTAATTTTATTAATTTAAAGGATAGTTACTTTAACTTTAAGATCTTAGTTTCTTTCTTTTAACTTATTATACTCGGTTTATAGAATCACTTTTTAATCGGAATCTTATATAGTATATAGAAGAACCTTCTCTAATATTATTATCTTTATTAAGTTTACTAGTATTAGCTAATCTTAAGTAACTATTTTTTATTTAATACTATCTTCTTTATCTAGTATAGTAATAATAGGTTACTTACTATAGTTTATAGGTAGGTTTCGTTTCGATCCGACTATTTTAATTAGTTAAAGATTAAATTTAGGATCGAGTTAAGTCTTAGCTTTATAATACTAAAGAACGAAAGTAAAGATAAAGCGGGACTAAGACTAATTATAATAATAGTCTATATAGTCGTACTACTTATTTAGAAATAAAAGTAGTACTTAGTATTATATTACTAGCTAGTTCTTTAAATAAAAAGAGTGTATTTAACGAAAATACTAAGTATAGAGAGTAAAAGAAAAGGAAGAAGAGGATTAGTTAGTATATTGTCCTATCATATTTAAAAGTTAATACTTCTACTATTATAATCCTATTAATATAACATGTAAGTGATTTAAACTATACAATGCATTTTAGTTTAAAAATGCAACATTACAAATAATGATTTAATAATATAACCATACAATGTAAAATATAATATGAACATACAATGCATTATGCAACATTACAATATAACCATACAATGCATTTATTAAAATGCAACATTACAAATAATGATTTAATAAATATAAACCATATATGAATTTATTAAAATGCAACATTACATATGATTTAATAATATGACTATACTATGCATTTTAAATCTATCATTATGACGATAACACATTTAATTAGATCTATCTAGATCTATTTTCAAAAGAGATAAATAAGACTATAACCACCGAGATAATAATCTTTTTACAACACGGTTAATATCTTGTATATATTGAATATACTTCAATTAACTAAATACAACCTTTTTATCTCTTTACTTTCTTACCTTTCATCTTTAGTTTTTTCTTTCCTACCATCTAACCCCTATAACCTCCTAGATGTCCTTTATAGGGCCTTAGTGTAAACCATATAAATATTATCCTCTAAGTGTCTTAACCCGGCAGGCGGTTAGCAACAGTAGAACTATAGTTGTCAACTCTAGATCGTGACACTTTATTGTATAACTAAACTATATTTTAAGGTATATCTTAAGCTAAATATATACTTCGGTAATCTAAGATCCTAACTTAAGAAGAAATAGCTAGGTAAAACGGGTAGTATTGTTAGTAAAGGTTATAAAGTAGTATTTACTACTATCTATATAAAGCGTTAAGTTTAATGCTTCTACTATTATAATCCTATTAATATAACATGTAAGTGATTTTAAACTATACAATGCATTTTAAACTAAAATGCAACATTACAAATAATGATTTAATAATATAACCATACAATGCATTTATTAAAATGCAACATATAAACATACAATGCATTATACAACATTACAATATAACCATACAATGCATTTGTTAAAATGCAACATTACAAAATAATGATTTAATAAATATGAATATAACCATACAATGCATTTATTAAAATGCAACATTACAAAAT